ACACTTTTTCGTATATCAAAATTAACAGTAAACTAGGGAGGGCCGTTATGGACATTCTAGAAAGAGGGTAAGAGACACAAATTTGATTAAATGGGAGAAAAGTGGCGCAATCAAAGGTCGTTTAGAAATGACTGAAACATTTTTTGGTTTTTGAAATATTTCGAAAAAATCGGATTTTTCGATTTTGCAGCGAAAGAAGGATTGAGGAGGTCAGTTTTGGAAGCATTTGCTAGCATTACTACCAACACAAATCCTGATTAGGGTGTTAGAATCGACACGGTGAGAAGATGCTATCTGCGTTTAGAAAATAATAGAATTTTGTTCGACGATATGTTGTAAATTTATAGTTGTTGTATTTTGTTTTTATTCTTTCTATTAATTGTTGTATCAATTAACAGATTCACTCATTGGATAGCTAATTATTTATTTAAAAAAAAAATGTACCGTATGTTCTACTTGGGTTCAGACTGCAGTGTATCTCAGCTGTTTTTAAAGATAGAGACTTGCAGTTTTCGCGACACTGTGTCACTTTTTTTGTGAAGCTGTTAATAGCATAAACAGAACCATTCCAGGTACGTTGTTCGAACCCCAGTTTCTGAGATTTGACCTAATGTTGGTAATTTTTTTAATGCAACACCCTGTATATCATGAAGGTTAACTTTTTGGATTATTTTTCCTGATTACATGGATATATCACAACCTATATATTTTTTTAAATATTGTACCTATACATATATGTATATTACGTATATCATATTTTTCAAAATTTTGAAATCACATGTCCACCGTGAATAATTTTTATTATTGATTGGTATTGGCTGCCTTAGTTACCATGGATACAATAAACAAAACAGAATCTTCATGAATCCATGGCCTACTGTTGAAAAACTGTAAAATATACGGATTTTATTTTGTGTTCAAAAATTTTACTTGGTTTTATTGGTTGTCGCATGTAAGAGTTTTACTTTCAAAAACATTTCAGGGAATAATTGATCACCCCCCCCCCCCCCCCCCCCAACCAGATAACGAAACTTGATGGCCGTCTGGCACACTTTCAAGGTATAGGCTACGACCTATTGCAAACAATTTTAGGATTCTAGGACCATTCCCCTAAAAGTAGTTCAACACGGCAGAAGTTGGCCCGGATGGACGGACGGACGGACAGACAAAACGCAAACAATAGCGCATTTTTTTAATTTATAAAAAAATAGGTTGTGATGCACTAATGTAATCAGTAAAAAGAATGTAAAAAAATGACACCCGAAAAATAAGACTAAATCCTACAGTTCTATTTTAAGGTTAGCGGATAAAATCATGAATTATGTCTTTTCAATAAGGGAAAAGTTTACGCTTACATGACCAAACAAAATGAACACGAATTATTATTTTCAAAGTATTTAAGACACCGTGTATACATGAATGAAGTATACAGGGTGTCTTAAATATTTTGAAAAAAATAGTTCGTTTCGTGGATAATTGGAAAAAATGAAAATTACCATTTTTAAAAATTTTATTTTAGTAACAAAGAGCTATTGAAAAAAGCTTCAAATAACAGTTGCAAGATTCGATGGGACAAATTCAATGGACGCAGAAAAAAATTTTTTTAATGGCGGTTTCCGAGATATTGACCTCAACTTCCTTATATTAAATGGACGCCATATTGGATTTTTACGTCACTCGATAAAGAAAAAAATTAGTACAAAACCAGTGATACTAAACACTTAGTGTTTCATTTGGGAATCAACCTTACATTTTTGGCTCGAAGTTTACCATGTATTTCTTATGGCAATAATTCCATGGCCGTGTCGATGGTGACTGGTCGAGACAATAAACCAACGAATTTGGTTTCAATCATAATATGCCATGGAATTATTTCCATAAGAAATACATTGTAAAATTCGAGGCATAAGGTTGATTCACAAAGTGTTTAGTATCACTGGTTTTGTAATTTTTTCTCTATCGAGTGACGTAAAAATCCAATATGGCGTCCATTTAAAATAAGGAAGTTGATATTGTCAATATCCCGGACCCGTCATTTAAAAAAAATTGTGAGTGTTGCAATTTTTATTTGAAACTCTCTTTGTTACTAAAATATTTGAACTATTTAAAAATGGCCATTTTCACTTTTTTGAATTACCTATCTACGAAACGATTTATTTTTTTCAAAATATCGCATCGTAATATCCATTAGCATCAAAAACTACACAACTTTGCCAATTTAACCGAATCTGTAAATATATAGCAAAGATAGCCATGATATCCTACTCAATTTAAGACACCCTGTATAGTGTTCAATTAATTTAATGTTGGGGAGCTAAAATTTTGAAGTTGGTTTCCCAAATTTGTTTTGTCAACATCTTTTTTTAGAGAAATGTGCAAACGAAAAACTAAAGTGTGCCTAATGTGCAATCAATGTGCAAACGAAGAAAGTACATGACGTTTTATTATTTTGAAGTTGGAGGGCTAACTTCACGCGGGTAGGATACTTCGGTATCCTGCTTGTGCAGTCCTTATAGCCATTTCCCCCTTTAGTCCAGGGCTTGTAGTTATTACCAATTCGAGAAATTTGAAGAAATTCTAAAATGTAGGTATGAGCGAAGTTGGCGATTAAAAATCTCTCCGTTATTGGGGTCCGTTAACTTGGCCCCCCCACTGAGAGATTTGATAGTCGTATTATTTTGAAATGAATGCGCTCGTTATGCGCTCATATGCGCCACCGATAATAACTCTTGCACCATTATCGTTTTTTAGAAATCCGAAAAAACATTTGGAGGGGGGGGGGGCAAGTGAACGTAGCCCCCCTCCCCCCAGTACGTATTTTGTCCCTTGTAACTAGGTCACCTGATACATTTGGTTATGCGCTCAATTGCGCCACTTGAATTAAAGCTAGCGCCATTACGGTTAAGCCGTGACAAATTTTCAAAAAGTGGGGGGGCCAACTTAACGTTTTTAAAAGTTACTTTTTTTTAACATCGTTTCATACGAAATTGTACTCTCAGGTATGCGGAGGGTCTAGCTTAGCGTCTTCAAAAGTTATTTACGGAAGTGCGCCCATTTTGAAAATATTTTACATCGATTCGGCCTTCGGAGTAACTCCTAAATACAAATTTTTAAAAACCTACCTATTTTACTTTCCCAGAATCGTTTAACTAAAGCTCCCAAAAAACACCCTGTATAGTGTTTCTGAAACACTATAATGGCGCCAAGATTTTTTGTTTACGGCGCATTTTAGCGCATGATGAAAGGTACGATGTAGTAGAAAAAACATGTTAAAAAACGTAACTTTTGAAAACGTTAAGTTAGCCCCCCCCCCACTTTTTAAAAATTTTTTATGGCTTAACCGTAATGGCGCTAGCTTTAATTCAAGTGGCGCAATTGAGCTCATAACCAGATGTATAAGTGGCACAAATACCGGTAGCAAAATGCGTTATGGGGGATTCCGTGCACTTGGCCCCCCCCAAATGTTTTTTCGGATTTCTAAAAAACGATAATGGCGCAAGAGTTATTATCGGTGGCGCATATGAGCGCATAACGAGCGCATTCATTTCAAAATAATACGACTATCAAATCTCTCAGTGGGGGGGCCAAGTTAACGGACCCCCGTTATTGAGTTATCGTGTTCCGGCCAGACAGACAGACAGAAATTGTTTCTTCACTTTAGCCGGATAAGAAGTCGTTTGGGGCACGTTCAAAATACGTCCCGCGGTGAAAGTTGGACAGCACACTTTTTGGGCCTTTCCCTGTTTACTATTCCCCAAATTGGAAGTAAACAAACTCCACCACTAATCGTTTTGTTTATCGCGATCCAAATTCGTTGCGGTATTGCAAAATTCGCGCAAACAAATTAATGATGCAATTAGAAGACGTGCGCAAACTTGACCGTGAATCCTCCCGGTAAATATTATTACTTTTTTGGTTAATAACCTTTCTCCTGTCGTGACATTTCCCCATACTGTTCATAATGGCGTAAAATTCCGTGTTTTCCGCCAGCCAGCATGCGGGCCTTCCTTATCGGGAAAAACGCAACCGGGGGGGTACCTACCGACGACATGCGCCCGTTATAACAATTAAAGGGGAAGGCGATATACCTATATGCGGAAAAAAAGGAGGCTAATCGTTTCGTACGTGTTAAATTAGTTTACGAAGGTGTCATGTTCCGCGCACGAGATCCCATTAGACGTGAGAACTGGGGAAAAACTGAGCGGCTTTATGTGAAAAGTGTGCGCATTTGAACCGTAGCGGCGAAAATTTTCACAATTTGATCAAGGTTGCGCTGGTCGCCGTATTTTGTGTAAAAAAGTCGCGCTTATTTTTTTTTTTAATTTTAAGTCTGTGATTTAATTAACCGCACGATTAGATTACGTTTAGAAATCAGATCCCGTTTTCCGGATTGCTATGCTGTTATTATCGTCCATTTTCGCGTAGATTCTATCATTAGCGTTTCAGGAATGAACACGTTTAATTCGTCGATTTACGGATTTCAAAGGTAGGTAAATTTCGCTTGTTTGTGTGTAATTACGGCCGGGCCTCCCCCTTCCAGGAGGCGAAGCGTTTTAAGTGTTAAAAAAGGACGGGGCGGTGCGACAATCGTGTTGCACAGATTGCCTCTTCTTTTTTCTAGTGTTACACGTCGGAGAGATGGTCGATTATCGCTGGTTTGTCTCGCTTTTTTTTTTTAAATATAACTCGGGCGATAAGTGCACGTGATTAGATTGTTGTACATAAATAATTTCAAAGAGATACGAGTGTTGTTAATTTATTTCCAAATCAAAGGTGCGCGCGGACTTCTTTTATTCTCGCCCTTCCTCTTTGTACATTCGCTCTCCGCTTGATATGTATCGACAATCTACGATTAGCATCGCAGTGCAACAAACAGTTTTCACGTGCACGATCGTTGTGATTGTCGTCGATTAATGGAATCTATCCTCGAGGACCTCTTCAAAACGTAGTAATACTCCGCCCGCGCGATTATTATTAATATGCGTTTCTGTTTGTTACAGCCCTTTGTACTCCGGTAACGTGGGAAGCTACCCCGGTGGAGGGATGCCGTTGTACAACGCGGAATCTCCAGAAATGGTATCGCAGAACCCGGCGCAAATGTGGACCAACTCCGGTAAGCCAAGATGACACCCTTTTCCATTGTAATAATCATTGTCACCAGGTGCAGTAAGCACGAGCCAAGGGTTGCAACTCCCGGACGACTACCCGCGGGTCTCCTCCTCGGGCGGCGCCGGAAACAACAGCCTCCCCGGCTTCAATCGCCTACCCACCTTCCCCAATCACAGGGGCGCGCCGTACCGGGTGCCGAACCGCGTCCCCTACGCCGACTGGCAGTACTCCCCCGAAAACCAGGGCCCGATCCAGTACAGCCTGATGTCGCCCCAAAATAACGTAAGAAATCGCCCGCCGCCCGTCGCGGGCTTATCGGCGGCCGCCTCCTTATCAGCGAGTAAGTGTTTCTTTTCTTTTACTTCGACGTGTGCCATTGCTCGAGGGGGGGAAATAATTGCGGAGTGTAGCCAATTTTAAAAGTATAAACGTGTATTTCTAAAAAGGTGGTTAAAGATTACCGAAGAATGTTTCCGTGATAAGGCAAAAAGCACTCAGTTACTTAACCTAAACGTGACACAAATTAAAACAATATTAAACCAAATCGTCTTTTCAAGAAGAAAATTTCAAGTTCATCGTCCATATACGATTGATTATTAATCAAGGTAGTTTACTAATGATTTTTGTCTCTAAATGATTTCTAATGATCCATAACAAAGTATTGTTTTTAACATCTACGATGATAACGCCGTCAAAACAATGTTTCAGTTAGATAAAGCTGAATCATCCCAAGATGTAATTTTAATCTTGCTTACACCAAAGCGGTTTACATCAATTTTCAATTCTCAAATTGCAACTTGAAATAAACGCATCCGGCGGCTTTCGTGTTTCTGTACTGATATGACGTCATTTTTTACTAACATTTCTGCCACAAAGAAATTCAACTTCTTCCATCTGTTCTCAAAACTGTCCTTGATTTTAAAAAGAAATTCGATAAATTGCTGTAAATAACCATTGTTTTTTTTAATTGTTTACTTCTATCAATAGTATCTTGTTAAATATTTGGGAATATTTTAACCGATAACCAAGTTGTAATGCGCCTGCATAGAAACGAAATTACGATAATATCTCCACGACCTCTCGAAAGATGGGCAATCGGAATTTGCCCCCATCAAATCAAAAATGACGGCTTTTCAGATCATGATCTGGAACAAATTGCGGCCCATGCGGTAATGTTTGAACAAAATAGCCTCGTGGTGCTATAATGGCTGTATTTAGTGCGGCAATTTTGTGAAGTCAGGGTTGGCGATTATGACTTGAACATGGGCAACACTGCAATTGTCGTGCAACAGCGCAGTTTTTGTTCGCCATGAGTTCGGCCGATCGTTCGCCAAAGCAAATTGTTCTCAGCAGAGCCGTCTTTAACAAATTGGGAGCCCTGGGCACAAAAATGTACATGGTGGTGAAATTTTCAAAATAAATAATTTATTATTAATATCTGTAATACCACTTTAGATATTTTAATGAAATTTGGCATGTATGTACTATGTATCCAGACTCCAGTGGCGTTCGTACGGAATTTCACATGCCCATTTTGGCAGACAGTGATGGTACGCCACTGATTTCTCTGAAAATAAAAATTATTTTTGAAATTCCCAATCATTTCTAAGCAAATTTGATCCCTTTGTTTTTTTCAACCCGATGCACGGTTTTCGCTTAAAAAAATAAAAACCGTTTCTCTGCATGATCATGACAATATCATGCAGCGAAAACGATTTTCTTTTTAAAATCGTGCGTCGAATTTAAAAAATCAAGCGATCAAATCTGCTCATGCTTCGTACTTCGAATTTTGGAACTTTTTCAATAAAACATTAAGAAACCTACTTAAAGTAAAAAAAGAGTTATTGCTTATTATTGTAGTAGGCTGCGCCTGTCACAATTATTAATTCTGTTGACGAGTTTTTATTTTTTTAAGCGAAACCCGTGCATCGGATTGTAAACAAAGGGATTAAATTTGCTCAGAAATGATTGGGGATTTCAAGATTTTTCAGAGAAATCAGTGGCGTACCATCAATGTCTGCCAAAATGGACATGTGAAATTCCATACGAACGCCACTGATAGAAATTAAAAAAATGTGGTACGTTAAAAAATGCCTCTGGGTACATAGTACATAGATGCCAAATTTCATTAAAATATCTGGTATTACAGATATTAATAATAAATGATTTATTTTTGAAAACTTTACCACCACCCTGTATCTGAAAAGTTAAGACGTTTAGGATATAGGTTCATATGAAGTTTCCTTTTTAAAATGGGCCCAAAAATCGCCCCCTTAAATATTGACATTCAATTATGAAACACCCTGCATATCTGGGTAAATATCGATAACATTTTTCTATTTGAAAGTTGTTTAACATTTTATTTCCCTTAATAAGGCAGTTGTTTTTATTTAAGAAAACAAATGACTAACGAAAAACAATTGAGTTTTTTTAAATGACAATGCTCTTCTTCATTAGGCCCATTTGATAGCGATTTTTTTTCTCTTTTCGATGATATAGCATGTTAGTACCCTTATTCAAAAAAAATTTTCACATGTAATACCACTAGTGCTTGAATTATTTCCGGAAATTTGTAGAATAAATGTAATTGTAAATAATAGAATAATTCAAGCACGTGTGGTATTCGGTAAGAAAATTTCACACCATATTGAACCTCAACGACTTATTTGAAAATTTGTTCTCTTTTTGAAAGTAGATCAAGATAGCCTTTGGATGACATTTTACAGATTTGAATTGAAATTGCCGTTCGTTGACAGTAAGTTTATTGTGAGCGTGAACGAAATGATTCGATTCGGTCAAGAAAATAGAGAAGCTATTCGTAGCGAAATTCAGTACCTAACGCCCAGAAGTCAAGTGTTTGGAAGCAGTTTACTGACTTTTGCCCTGAAAAAAGTTATGTGTTCGATAGGGAAAACATCTGTGGAGGAATTTGGCAATGATTATGGAAGATTATGGATTTAATATCTACCCAATTGTGTTTATTTCTGCTGGAATACTTTTTTATAACGCGGCTAACTGACGTTTTACGCCAAAACGTTCTCTTATGACTTCAAAAAATTTCCACTATAATTCGCTGTAGGTTGCCCCTGCAGGCAAAAATTTCCGATAAATTTCATTGGTCGAAAATGGTTGGTGTGAAATTTTCATATATAATACCATAAGTAGTCGAAGTATTGTCGAATATTTTTGAGGTGCTGTCACGAATGCTAGTTACGCTGATTAATACCACGAGCGCTTGCGCGAGTGGTATTAAAAAGCGTAACTAGCATGAGTGGAGCAGCAGCTCAAAAATAATCTACAAATACTTCGACTACGAATGGTATTCGGAGGACTATTCAATGAATCAAAAGAAAAATTAAGCATAATTACCCACGCGAATGTATTTCCATGACAACAATAAACGTCAAAATAAATTACGGAAGTTGCTTTTCATTTTGCTATTGATTCTATTCGAACTTTTGTGCTCCAAGCTAATTCGTTATGAGTGATCAAATTAAAAGATGTGGTGATAAGTCGGTTGTCGAAATTGATTAACAAACTAAGAAGAATGTTCCGGTTAATACGACAAAATTTCGCGTTATTTCACTGGTGGAAGTTTGACAAATGTCATTGAAAAATCGCATTGAATTGTCACTTATAATTGCACAAGAGGTTTGTATTTTACCGAGTAAATTTGGGTTGTTTAGGTAATGAAAATTTGTTGCCTAGCAATTAGACGAGAAAAACTGTCAACTAATAAAAATGCGACACCGCAGGTGGAGCATTTTTAGGTTGACAGTTTTTCGAGTTCAATTGCTAAAAGGAAACAGATTTGAATTGCAACAACCCAAATTTACTCGGTTTAAATACAAACCTCGAGTGTAATTCGGCAGGACAATTTAACGAACAAGAAATTCACCAAACTAGTCAATTATTGACAGACGTCAAACTAGTCATATGGGTAAGGATAATGCGATTATTGGTTCGAAAATGAATAAGTGAAAAAACCACTAGTGCATTTGTCGCTGGAAAAGTTGCAGGTAACTTTTGCCGCTGTCAAAGTGACAATTACACTGCGGCTTATGCGATTTTTTATACATGAGTTGAATTGTCACTATAATAATGTTGTGATTGGCTAGAACGTATATGAATGACTGAAATTGAACATTTCTATTGGTTTCGAGAAACGTCAAAAAATAATCAAAAAAATTTACGATAATTAGATCAATAACATGAATCCAGATATCCTACATCAAAATAAAACAACTGAACGTGTGCGTTTCTTATTAAACCTTGAAGACAAAACGAAATTAGTAGTAAAATCCACCATTAATTGCAAGGCAGTGGCATAACCTATCACAAAAGCTTGAAATAAAAATTAATTTCTTCTACACTGGTGCTAACGTGTTACGTCATTGAAAAGAGAAAAAAAATCTATCAAATGAGCCTAATAAAAGTGTACATTGCTATTTAAAAAAATTCAATTATTTCTCGCTATCAGAGCCGTAACCAGATTAGTTACGAAGAACGGGCAAATAAATCTACAGAGCGGGCAGGCGAAATATTAATAATTCCCGCTGAATAAATTCGTTCTTATAGCGCAACCCACGAAAGTGGGCATTTCCGTCCGTGTGTCTGTCGTTCCGTGCTATAGCTCAGTTTGCTAGACTTCGAGTTTTCGCTATATGAAAGCTTGCGAGTTCCAGGTGCGCAACTATCAAAAATTAACTTAGGCATTTTCTTGCGGTCAAAATCGTTATTTATGCGCCCAATTTTGTTGGGAAAAAGATCAAACTCAACTGCTGGATAACCAAGAAATGATACATGTGTTTTTTTGGTGACCTAAATATTTTTGCCCAAAGGTTGTCAAAATCGATATGTGCATCAATTTTCTTGAGAAATTCGATTGCTCAATGCTTAAGAAGTGGTCTATGTGTATTTTTGGTGACATTTTTTTGGGCAAAAAATATCAAAATCGTTATTTGTGTACGGATTTATAGCTACATCTGTATTTGGATAATAAATTAAATAGGTTATTTTGACCCAAATAATTTAAAACATCCAAAGATTTCATGGAAAAGGGTAACATACTAGAATACAGGGTGAAAATTTTGTCTGGAACATCAGCTTCGAAACAATTTTTTTTAAAGAAGCTTTTTGTGAGATCCACAATTATAAAAAGTTTGCTACGCACTTCAAATTTGTGGCCAGTGGCGTACTTCTGTATGGTCATGGGGGTTTATTATTTTTTTAATGGCAACCACTAGTTTTCATTACATATTCTTGAAAACTAGGTACACTTTTTTGGATATAGCAGCATAAAGAACTGATGATATTACATAATCAAATTGAAGAGAAAAA